TGGGCCATATATTTGAAGGATGACTGCTAACATATCTTCTGGGTGTCGGGGGTGAAGTTACAATAACCAGAGCAAAGCTACAGTGGTAAAACATTGAAGGAAGTCCTTGAGGGAGGTGTAGGAGTGTTACAGTCTTTATGCCTAAAGAATCCTGCCTGGAGACTGAGACACAGCAAAGTCTGGCCTTTGCACCCTTTTCTGCCATCACCTCCCTCTGGCTAAGTACCTGAGGTGAGGGCAAGCATGGCCCAGGGGGGTGTAACTATTTTCCAACTGGATTCCAAGAAAGGCCTGATGGCTCAAGATTCCTTCTTTCTTTATCTGCCATTCTTTGTAACATTGTCCAGGAGGTGGACAGAATCGTTTTGCTTACCTAAAAATTAAGATTCTGGTGTGTGTTTGTTTTTTTTTTTTAAGACTTTATTTATTTAGGAGAGAGTGAGAGAGAGCGGGGGTGGGGGGGAGATAGTACTCAAAAGGACATACTGTATTTGCCGCTCACCTTCATTTTTCTTAGGAAAAATCACCTCGCCAGCTACAGTTCTTTTCCTTGCATCTACTGGATCACCAAAAGCTTGCATAGATTTCATTCTGCTTATAGGAAAGGACATATGCTGGGGTAAAACTATGCAGATGATCCTATCCCTTTTTCAAACTAGGGACAACTTTTATGATTTCCAGGATACAAGTTCTGTTATTTGGACTATAATAGCATCAAAATGATAATGCCAAACATATAATGCAATTTACAATTCTTTTTTTTTTTTTTTAGATTTTATTTATTTAACAGAGAAAGAGAGAAAGTACAAGCAGGGAGGAGCAGCAGGCAGAGGGAGAGGGAGAAGCAGACTCCCCGCTGAGCAGGGAGCCCAACATGGGGCTCAGTCCCAGGACCCTGCAATCATGACCTGAGCCGAAGGCAGACACTTTACTGACTGAGCCACCCAGGCGCCCCTACAGTTCTTTGAAAAGAATTATAAACAGCCACATTCTCTAGCCCAGATACATGTGGACTCTGGTGACTGTTGAAATTCTCAATCATACAGTTACATTCACTTCTTGTATCAAAAGTCCCCAAGAGCTTTCTCAGGCTTCATGATTCTCTCAAAGGACCAACAGGATTCAGAAGAGCCATTATACCATAATTATGGTAAAAGGATAGATTAAAATAAGCAAAGGGAAATAGCACATAGGGTGAATGAAGCCTAGGAGAAATCAGGTGCAAACTTTCAGTTGTCCTCTCTCAGTAGTGACATAGACAGCACTCTCAGCAATGATGTATGACTACACATGTGAAGTGTCGACAATCAGAGCTCACCCGACCTTGGTCTCCAGGGTTTTTACTGGGGGTCAGTCATGTAGCCATGTAACATCCACATAACTGAGCTTAGCTACTTAACCTCCAGCTCCCTTCCTCAGAGGTCATACTGGTACAGCATCATCTGTAGCCTCATGCATACAAAAACAGGCATTCACTCTAAGTCACATTGTTAGCATAAACTACCCAAACTGATACAGTGTGGTCCAAGAATGTAGACTTACGAAACACTCTTATTAGGCAGAATGTTCCACGGACTCAGAATTTATCTCCCAGGAGCTGGTCAAGGGCTAGTGTTTTCTTTGTAAAGTGCAGAATTTGAGTAACCAAAGCCTGCTGAATTAACATTCTACTCTACACTTTCTGACAGTGTCCAACCCAGTGCAAAGTCTACTTTTGTGATGCCCTCCCCCAAATCAACTGAAATAAATCCACTTCCTGTAGGTTCTTTCTACTATGCAATTTCTGAGATGTTCCATTGTTCCTCATGCTAAGCAGTCACCCTATTGCAGGAATTTTGTTCAACTGCACGTGTTTCTCATGAGTTCTGGCTGGTGGGCATTGACCTAGCCAATATATAAGTTTTTACCCTTACAAATGGATTAAGTTGTTTTAAAGGGGAAATTGCTTATCATTATAAGAATATGAAAATTCACATAAAAAAACTAAAATCTGGGGATGCCTGGGTGGCTCAGTTGGTTTAGCGTCTGCCTTCGGCTCAAGTCATGATCCCAAAGTCCTGGAATCAAGTCTGCATCAGGCTCCTTGCTCAGTGGGAGGCCTGCTTCTCCCTGGCCCTCTTCCTGCCCCTCCCCCTTCTTGATCCCTCTCTCTCTCTCTCTCTCCCCCTGACAAATAAATAAATAATCCTTTTTTAAAAACCCAAAAAACTAAAATGTGTCTTAGGGCCTCAGAATGTATGTTTAAAAAGAAAAATTTACAGTATTGTTTTGACAGTCCATAATTGTATTGGAATACTGTAACATATCCTTTCAGTACATGAAAGATAATGTTTTAAATATACAGAAAATATAAAATCAGTTTTACTAGGATTCTTCCAAGAATTAAGTACCAAAAAATTGTTTGACCAAAGAGCAAAGACAAATTATTTTGCAAACATAAAAATTGTAATTGAACACATATTATCATTTAGAGATTGCATTCAGCTGTAACAGAAAACTCCCACAATCTGCTTCATGTATTTATAAGGTACCTATTTCTCATATAGAATTGTCCAGAAACAAAAAGTACAGGGTAAATGCAACCACTTGACAATGCAATCAGGAAACAAAGTCCTTTGTGTTTTCTGACACAATTATAAATTTCAGAAGTTCCTGTGGAGTCAGGTACACAGGGCCACTGGACATATTACAGGAAAATGTTTACAACACAAATCCAACCTAACACAAATATGGTAAAATTGGAGAAATGAGGGAGTGTCAGGAAAGGTCACCAACCAAAAAACAAACAAATCAGTGGCCTGGGTGGATGTATTGGAGCTTGCAGGAAAGATCTAAATTATGGATATGTGAGAATGGAAGTGGATACATGACAGGAGAGCTATGGGAGATGCCTGTGGATGACACCAACTCTGATGAAGTCAAATAACTGATTTTTGGTTTGTAGACACTCCTGATTAATGGGCCCAGAAGGCAGGAAAATCTGCTGGAAACTGGTGCTCACCAAGCTCTGATGCATACATTTTACTGTACAATAGTTCACAAAACTAAGTATGACATGTTCATTTCTGCCTTTCTGATCTCATGCAAAGTTTGCCATCTTTACCATCTCTAATCTGGGACAATATGGGGAAAAGATTCTGGGAAATGTTCCCAGGTTTACCCACATTGATACATCACAATCTATCACAAAATAGCTACTCTAGCTTTTATCATAGTCAAAGCTCTGTATCCAATTCCCGCCAAGAGCTAAGGTGAGCAAAAATGAGCAAAAGAGGAAAGTAAGTCAGATGATGGTGTCTTCATTCAACAGCTTTACACTGAGGAATCTCTGCCAGAAAATAAAATATTGTGTCCACTACCTAGAAGAAATGCCAAACATACATTTTTTTTTTAAAATACAAAAGACTGAGAACCTCAAAAATACTGTTTTTCTTAGAAAGGAGAAAAGAGAGAATAGATGTCTGGTATATAAATCCCAGTATGTGCAAGAAACAAAATTCCAATGACACCAAAGTATCATTATCATAATAACCACATGCTTGAAACCTAATGAAAATTAGAAATAAAATGGATCTAAAATCCCAAAGATTACATATTTAAAAATAACTTCAAAAGACCTACTGGTCCAAAGACTTATAGGATAAATAATTTCTATGTAAACAATTCATAATTAAAACACTGTATATCAAAAGGTATGTAACTTGGCTGACAGGGTATATAGTGGGTAAAATGGTGGCCCCCCCCAAAAGATATGTCCACTCTGAATCTGTGAATGTGACTTTACTTGAAGAGTCCTTACAGATGTAATAAGGATCTCAAGATGAGATCATCCTGGATTACAGTGGGCACTGAATTCTATGACACATGTCCTTACAAAAAAAAGGGATCAAGCAGGTAGAAATGGTGATGTTAAGACAGGGCAGAAATTGGAATGTCTATAAGCCAAGGAACACTAAGTGTTGTGGTAGCCACCAGAAGCGTGTAAAGTGGCATGGATCAAGTTCCTCCTCAGAAGGAAATATATTTTATATATATATTTTAAGATTTTATTTGACAGAGAGAGAGAGGGAACACAAGCAGGGGGAGTGGGAGAGGGAGAAGCAGACTCCCCGCTGAGCAGGGA